CTCCGGCGTTAAGAGGTTTTCTGGGAAATGTGTTTCTCACTCGTGTTCTTGAGCGTTTGAGAGGGAGTTTCTGGGTGAAATGTCACAGTGATGCTGATGTTCAGCGGTTATAGAGAGGAAAATGGTTTTTATTTAATGTATAGAAATTAATGTGTTGTCCATGCATTTCAGTATGTTGATGCAAGTGCACATGTATTATATGTATCTGCCAAAGAAATTGTTATACACTAAAGACAGACTTTTATTTTCTTCATTCTGTGGATGGATTTAAGAGACTAAATAAAAAAATGATATATAATGAAATTATTTAATATGTCATAATTATTACAGCTGCAATAAATAAATAATAAAATAAAAGTGCAGTGTGATGTATATTTATTTCATATTTATTCCTGTTGCAATAAATGTAAAATAAAAGCACAATAAATAAATAAATAAAAGTACAATGAAAATCTACATTTGTTTATAATAAAACGAAGTACAGTGAAATGTATTTCAGGTCACTTTTCATTTTGCATAAATTTACATTTCAAGCAGTTTACACTTTCATTATACTTATGGTTTTTGATTGCTTCATTTTGATGTACAGTATTTATTTTCATGATTGATATTTTTATTTTAACATTGATTTGCTTTATGCAAATTAGCTTTTTGTCTGCTGCAGTTTATTTGAGGTATATATTTCATTTTGCAATTCGTTCTAAGGCAGATTCATGTGGTATTTCACATCCTTTTTCTTTTTACATGATAAAAAAAAAACTCGCTGTAAACTCATGTGGTTTGGAGTCTGATGGAAATATTGGGGCATTAGTGATAAAGTGCTGCTCTCATTCAACAGGTGTGTGTGTGAGTGAGTGTGTGAGTGAGTGAGTGTGTGTGTGAGAGTGTGTGTGAGAGTCTGTGAGTCTGTGAGAGTCTGAGTGTGTGTGAGTCTGCGTGTGAGTCTGCGTGCGTGTGAGTCTGCGTGCGTGTGAGTCTGCGTGCGTGTGAGTCTGCGTGTGAGAGTCTGCGTGTGAGAGTCTGCGTGTGAGAGTCTGCGTGTGAGAGTCTGCGTGTGAGAGTCTGCGTGTGAGAGTCTGCGTGTGAGAGTCTGCGTGTGAGAGTCTGCGTGTGAGAGTCTGCGTGTGAGAGTCTGCGTGTGAGAGTCTGCGTGTGAGAGTCTGCGTGTGAGAGTCTGCGTGTGAGAGTCTGCGTGTGAGAGTCTGCGTGTGTGAGAGTCTGCGTGTGTGAGAGTCTGCGTGTGTGAGAGTCTGCGTGTGTGAGAGTCTGCGTGTGTGAGAGTCTGCGTGTGTGAGAGTCTGCGTGTGTGAGAGTCTGCGTGTGTGAGAGTCTGCGTGTGTGAGTGTCTGTGTGTGAGTGTCTGTGTGTGAGAGTCTGTGTGTGAGAGTCTGTGTGTGAGAGTCTGTGTGTGAGAGTCTGTGTGTGAGAGTCTGTGTGTGAGAGTCTGTGTGTGAGAGTCTGTGTGTGAGAGTCTGTGTGTGAGAGTCTGTGTGTGAGAGTCTGTGAGTGAGAGTCTGTGAGTGAGAGTCTGTGAGTGAGAGTCTGTGTGTGAGAGTCTGTGTGTGAGAGTCTGTGAGTGAGAGTATGTGAGTGAGTGTCTGTGTGCGAGAGTGTGCGAGTCTGTGAGTGAGAGTCTGTGAGTGAGAGTCTGTGTGTGAGAGTCTGTGTGTGAGAGTCTGTGAGTGAGAGTATGTGAGTGAGTGTCTGTGTGCGAGAGTGTGCGAGTCTGTGAGTGAGAGTCTGTGAGTGAGAGTCTGTGAGTGAGAGTCTGTGAGTGAGAGTCTGTGAGTGAGAGTCTGTGAGTGAGAGTCTGTGAGTGAGAGTCTGTGAGTGAGAGTCTGTGAGTGAGAGTCTGTGAGTGAGAGTCTGTGAGTGAGAGTCTGTGAGTGAGAGTCTGTGAGTGAGAGTCTGTGAGTGAGAGTCTGTGAGTGAGAGTCTGTGAGTGAGAGTCTGTGAGTGAGAGTCTGTGAGTGAGAGTCTGTGAGTGAGAGTCTGTGAGTGAGAGTCTGTGAGTGAGAGTCTGTGAGTGAGAGTCTGTGAGTGAGAGTCTGTGAGTGAGAGTCTGTGAGTGAGAGTCTGTGAGTGAGAGTCTGTGAGTGAGAGTCTGTGAGTGAGAGTCTGTGAGTGAGAGTCTGTGAGTGAGAGTCTGTGTCTGCGTGTGTGAGAGTCTGCGTGTGTGAGAGTCTGCGTGTGTGAGTGTCTGTGTGTGAGTGTCTGTGTGTGAGAGTCTGTGTGTGAGAGTCTGTGAGAGTCTGTGTGTGTGTGAGAGTCTGTGTGTGAGAGTCTGTGTGTGAGAGTCTGTGTGTGAGAGTCTGTGAGTGAGAGTCTGTGAGTGAGAGTCTGTGTGTGAGAGTCTGTGTGTGAGAGTCTGTGAGTGAGAGTATGTGAGTGAGTGTCTGTGTGCGAGAGTGTGCGAGTCTGTGAGTGAGAGTCTGTGAGTGTGTGTGAGTGAGTGTGTGTGTGTGTGTGTGTGTGTGTGTGTGAGTGTGTGTGTGTCAACAGACAGGTGGCAATTTCTTTCCTGGTTAAAAGGTTTTTAAAATTTGAATAGCTCATAAATCTCTCGTTATACTATATTATTACCAAATCTTGCATTCAATCTTTTTGTCAACTTGTTTTTTTTTCCAAGTAGCACAAGTTTTGTATTTCTTTTTGGATCTGATTGATCTTAGCCCTCATTGATCTGAACTTGTGCTCCTCAATTTATGAGCCAAAATTATCCACAAATAATGCTTTTTCACTCAAAAACTGAGGTGCATGAGCTCAAATCAATAAGGCCTATCCCTAGTGAAAAATAAATATATTAAAATGTATTTGAAATACATTTATTTCATGCTAAGCATACTGCAAAATTTACAATTTATTTCATGCTAAGCATACTGCAAATACATTTACATATTTATGTACTTAATAAAAATACCCTGCAATTGTACTTTTGGTATACTAATGTGGTATACTTAGTCAGCTAAATTGGAACGATTAATTTTGTACTTAATGCACTTTAATTGTGCGGAAGTCCAACTAAAGATATACTGAAGTATATTTGATTGTGCTAAAGTGGAACTATTGCATGTACACTTTAAGTATCTTGCATTTAAAGACCGATATTATTGAAAGATCATACAGTCCTCCTCAATAGTGACATTAAAACACATTTTAAGCTTAATATTAAGAAATGTGCAATAATGCATATTATTATAACATAGTATATAGCATAATGAGAAATTCATAAGCAATTTTCTTTTGTAGGCCGAACATTTCTGACCAAGAAAAAAAAATCCCAAAATATTTTTTCGAAGTTGTTGTAGCCTGTGTGATTAAAGTCAGTAAGTTTTAGTCTAATGCAATAACATTAACTAGTAGTGCTGGGTAAAATTTATTGATTTCACGATTTTAATCGATTCTCATTTTTATGAAATGATATTGATTCATAAATCCTGAGAATCGATTAGTCGAGCCTGTCAGATAATGAATGCAACATTGTAGCGCCTCCCATCCAATAAATCACAATAAGCTTTTGTGATTTGTTACTTTTGATATGAAACAAAGTCTCAGATTTCAAATTCTGTCCATTTTATTACAATATTCAAATATTAAATGCTGTTTTGGTGCTGTTTAATGTGAAGTGACAGATCGCTGTGAAATCATTCATAGCTGTATAGCTGTTACAGCACGAAATAAACATGAATGAACATCCGAAGGTGTTAAAAGATTTTGATGATCGTTTCTGTCCAGTCTGCTTGTTTTATCGCGTTTAGCCACAGCTGTCGTCGGTTTTTTGTCTGGCAGAGGCAGCAGATATGCGATAAAATTTCTAATTTGAGGCTGTATTACGTCGATTCTGGCACCCAACATCACAACAAGATGATATTTTAAGCTCCTTATGTAGCCGAATCTGCACTGGTTTGAATGGGCCGCCTCCAGTTTCCGCTTTGTTTTGCTGCTTCCAGCTAGCGCTGTGACGTCGCTGACCCTAGTTACCTGTGGTTGGCCTGACCGTGCGTCACTGAGAACACAACAGGCCAATCAGAAGAGAGGCTCATGAATATTAATTAGACAGGCCAAAATCGACCTGTTCTCAGCAGATCTCCTGAGAGAGGAGCTGTAAAAATATATTGAGATGGTTTTGGGTACTTATACCGCAAATATATATTCTTAAGGACATCAAGAACTAAAATAAAACTCCAGAAAGGTGTAAAATATGTGACCTTTAAAGTTCGTATTATAACTTTAATATTACAAGTATATTTCAAGTGTTTGTATACAAATCAGCAAATGTCAACCTTCCACATTATTGACTCTCAGGTACATTTTACAGCATTAGTTGAGAGATTTTTTTTTTCCTTGAGAAAATTTGCCATGTTCTGTACCTGATGTATATCCAAAATAATCGATACTGAATCGAATCGCAAGCTTGTGAAGGATAATCGAATCGAATTGTGAAATTTGTGTCAAAACCCAGCCCTATTAACTAGCATTTACAAGAAAAAGAAAATCCTCTCCGGGGTCAAAGTGACCCGAACACAGCATGAGGGCTAAGAAGGTTAATAGTCAGGTTTAATTTACACTTCCAGACGCTACAGGATCTTCACACGGCGTTTCTGCATTTGGGTCAGTGAGTGTAATCCAGACAACACACTTAAGTGTCTGACAGCAAATCCTGTTCATTTGGTCGAGATGTTCATGTTCTCAAGATCTCTAGAGCTCGTGTTCCTTCCTGAAGATGATTTATGGTTCAAATGAATGCTAAACTGATAGATGTCACTGTATGCGGTTGCATATTGATGAAACGGATGTCTGTCTTAATGCTAATCCGGTTAAAGCAGAGTTGAGGGATTGACGGTGTTGATCAACAATCAGGCATGATTCGGATCAGCTTCAGCAGGCTGTGCCGCTCTACCGTGGGTTGGAACTAATTTATTTCACATTCACGGGCTATCGTTTCTCTATGTGCCGTTATTATCGCTCATATATGTGTGTTTGTGTCTGGTCTCCTCCAGCTTGCAGAGTACCGGCAGAGGAAAGCTCAATCCGATGGCCAGAAGAAGCAGAAGAAGAAGAAAAAGAAGCCGGAATCGGATGCAGAGGAGCAGGGGAGAAATGAGGGAGAGGAGACCACCGTGTTTTCCCTCTCAAAGACCCTCCGGAGCGGAGAAACCGTCACACACGACCAGACCTACACCATAGAGGTGAGCAGAGATTATCATTTTGTTATACACAGGACACTTAATAACTCTCAGCTAGTGGCAGTAAAAAATTTTTTTTATAAAAAAACAAAACAAAATTAAAGTTAAATTTAGCCGAAAACAGAAGCTGAAAATGATATTTATTTAATAATCAAATGTAATTAATAATCAACACTCCAATCGTTGTACACAAACATGTTTTTATGCATGTTTTTAAATTATGTATTTATTCTAATTCAAATTGTTGTTGGAAATATAAACAATTAAACATTTGTAACTTGATAATCATGGTAGAAGCATACTAGTCACTTGCTAATCATGCTAGCAACATGCTAGTAGCAACATGCTAATCATGCTAGCAACATGCTAGTAACATATTAATCATGCTAGCAACATGCTAGTAACTTGTTAATCATGCTAGCAACATGCTAGTTTCTTGCTAATCATGCTAGCAACATGCTAACAACATGCTAGTAACATGCTAATCATGCTAGAAAAATGCTAGTGACAAATGCTAATCGGGTACATTTCCCAAAAGCATCGTTAGCTAACTATGGTAGTTAGTTCCATTGAAATCTATTGGTAACGACGGAACTTGCGACCATAGTTGCTTTTGGGAAACGCACCCCAGGCTAGAAACATGCTAGTGACATGTTAGTAACTTGCTAATCATGCTAGCGACATGCTAGTCACTTGCTAGTCATGCTAGCAGCATGCTAGTTACCTGCTAATCATGCTAGCAACATGTTAATCAGGCCAGCAAAATGCTAGCGACATGCTAGTAACTTGCTAATCATGGTAGAAACATGCTAGTAGCATGCAAATATATGCTAGTAACATGCTAATCGGGTGCGTTTCCCAAAAGAATCGTTAGCTAACTATGGTAGTTAGTTCCATTTAAATCTATTGGTAACGATGGAACTTGCGACCATAGCTGCTTTTGGGAAACGCACCCCAGGCTAGAAACATGCTAGTGACATGTTAGTAACTTGCTAATCATGCTAGCGACATGCTAGTCACTTGCTAGTCATGCTAGCAGCATGCTAGTTACCTGCTAATCATGCTAGCAACATGCTAATCAGGCCAGCAAAATGCTAGCGACATGTTAGTAACTTGCTAATCATGGTAGAAACATGCTAGTAGCATGCAAATATATGCTAGTAACATGCTAGTAACATGCTAATCGGGTGCGTTTCCCAAAAGCATCGTTAGCTAACTATGGTAGTTAGTTCCATTGAAATCTATTGGTAACGATGGAACTTGCGACCATAGTTGCTTTTGGGAAACGCACCCCAGGCTAGAAACATGCTAGTGACATGTTAGTAACTTGCTAATCATGCTAGTCACTTGCTAGTCATGCTAGCAACATGCTAATCATGCCAGCAAAATGCTAGTAACAGGCCAATAATGCTAATCATGCTAGAAACATGTTATCAACATCGATCTAATCGATCTAAATTTTCAAACTTCAGGCTTTTACAACTGCTTTAATCTTTCAGGTTAGGCTTTCTCAAGCCAACCTAAAGTTTCTCTTGACAAACTTTTTTATCTAGTTCAAATTGTTGTTTGAAATAGAAACATTTAAATTTAAAAACTTACACTTACAGTCCGTAACTTTTTTGTGTTCAAAATTTACAAAATATATATAATAAGCGAGTACACCATGAATCTATTTTCCAAACCGTGTTTTTGGCTCGTCCTGAATCACTACGGTACACCTATAATAAGTGTTTATATTCGGACTATTTTAGACTGGTTCGGGTAGGTGCCGCTGCGGAGGAGCCCAGTACCTGCGTGATTCGTCAGAGACATAAACAGAGAGAAGTAGCACCGGCTACAATGTTCTTCCGCAAGACGCACGCAGTTCTGTTTATTAACCGTTAGAGCGCCAAAAGTTACGGACTGCAGCTTTAAATAACGCAATAATTAACAGGTTAAGTAAAAATATAATGCATCTCTAATATAGTGCATACAGTATATTTATCAAAGTGCTTTTCTCTAATTTCTTTCTCTAGTTATTTTTCATGTTTTCTCTGGGTCTTTAAAAAGGTCTTAAATCAGAGCAGAAAGTCTGACTTAAATTCATAAAGAAATTAATATCCTCATCAGTATTTAAATTTTTCAATGCAAGTATTTAAGCATCCTTAAATCGACAATTACTTCCATGCATTTACTTGAGATGTAAATGTAATTAAAATGAAGTCTTAAAAAAAAAAACTGAACACAATTTAACTCACATGTTCAATTCAAATGCACTCGGCCTGTTTGTTCAAACAAAAGCACATGTCTGTCACTGGGGAATGAAAACTTGTTTTCCCTTTGAATTAAGTTGATTTTTCTGAGCCCAGATATTTGTTTGTGATTTAATCATAAACTCACTTTATTTTGATTAATTTCTGAAAAAACAAGACGTCTTATTTTGTCATTTTGCTGCTTCAGTAAATGCATCTTGATTTTAGAATCTTTAGACATTTGCACTGGAAAACAAGACAGAAATACTGAGGACGAGCATGATTTTTTTGCAGTGTGATCAGAAGGTACGGTAAAATTAATTTTCATTTCTAGTGCTTTGGGAGCAGAGCTAGTCAAGCCTAAAGGTATTTTTATTTTTTGTAAAATGAGTTTAGAAGTAATGGTGATCTGTTGGAAGTTGTATTTTCAAACTTTTAAGTGTTGCTAATCTAGGGCTGTCAAAATGACTAAATTAGAATTTTCTACTTAAATATAATCAAAATTCGAATTATATTTCAGTTAGGGGGGAAAAAAGCTTTTGGCTTCTCTCCTGAGGCCACAAGAGGGCGCATCGAGCAAAATATTATGCACATTTCTTCAAAGCGTAATAAAATAACACGACTATCTTTGAAAAAAAGTGCATAATGTTTAAAATAATGTTTATAAACCATATATAATTAATAAAGCTGCTTAAACAATTAGAAAAAAAAACAGCACCATGCATGTATGTATAGTTCAATACAAAGTACCAAAAACCAATCACAAAGAATAGGCAACTTTCTTCATTTAAAAACATGAGATGCAGTGGGATGGGGGAAAACCGCCATAACGTCTTGAGACATGTTTTTTTAAAAGTTGAACTTGCATTAATTTTAAATGGCTTTCTAAACATGCCGCTCTTGTGCGAGACGCGAGTGCAATGCTGATAGATCTCCCTCTAGAAAATGTGATAAATATGCGTTCTGTGTGAACGGCTTGGTTTCAGTTTTGACGTAAACAACATCTTCTCCACACTGATGCTCTCGTTTTCTGCAATATATGAATGAACAACGTAGCAGCGCCGCATCTAGTGGGTTCAACTAACAAAAGCATTCAAATTCAGTCAATGACACATACATCGTCATCGCATCTCGTGCGCCACTGATAAGGCTGCCCAACGTTTTTGCATTCGTATGTGGATTTTTGTTTTTTTTTAATTCGATGAAAATTCGAAATTCGAATTTTTGACAGCCCTATTGCTAATACAAGACATTTACATTTATAGACTGTATTGATGTATTATGCTCCCTTCAAAGTCTTAAATTGACCTTCATAAAACCTGCAGAAACCATGTTTTTCTAGCTAACTATCGAGATATTTCTGTTTCTGCAGGCTGTAAATGTGACGTTACGCCCTCAAAACCCGTTTCGGCTGAAACCAAAAATTCTTTTTTTTGCTGTTTTAGCCGAATATTTTCGAATGCATCACTACTTTCAATGCATGATCACTGACTGTGTCTACATGTGTTATTATTACAAATACTACCTGATGAAGAAACAAACTCATCCTAATCTCGGATGGCCTGAGTGTGAGCACATTATTAGCAGATTTAAAGATCACCCTCTCTATATAGACATATACTATATATTTAAACAGAACATAGAATATTTATCTTCCCTGCTCTTTTGCCTTCTTGATAAATTTATGTGGATGTTTTTAAAGCCCAGCAGGTTTGTGGTGTGTTTGCAGTTGTAGATGAGTGTAAAATTAGTGTTTGCCCAGGCAACAGACAACTGCGATTGAACTGGTTAACAGCCTGGGTGTGTGAGAGTGTGTGCTTTTGTGAGTGAGTGAGTGAGTGAGTGCGTGTGTGAGAGTGTGCGCGTGTGTGCGTTTGTGAGTGTGTGTGTGTGCGCGTGTGTGCGTGTGTGCGAGTGTGTGTGTGCGAGTGAGTGTGTGTGTGTGTGTGTGTGTGCGAGTGTGTGTGCG